TTTGTTTGTATTGGTGTGCAGCAAAATCATAGAAGACTAATGACCATGTCAGCAGCAGTAGCAGCCGCATTGAATGACAACTACTTAATTCTGTAACTCTTAGTGGCTGCATAATGACGGACCGGGCCGGGCCATCGAACAAGGTCCAGGGCAGTTACGTTTATTCCCTTTACATTTTAATCCACTTAAACGGGGAACTGTTGTCGAACTCACAAACGCACTCATACGCATACACATACACAACAGAGGCTTCAAGAAATGTTCGAGAAAATTGCGTATGAGACCACACGGCTGGACGTGAGATTATTGAGTAGTGATGTTAGCTCAGTATATAGTAGACGTAAATTGAGTCGCTCCTTTGATGATTGAATGTGCCTTTTATGAAAATTTACCTCGGATCTTTAATAAATGTCAGCCAACTGCCTGATGATAATTTGTCACAGACATGGCCTATTGAAAAGATGATGATGTTGGCAGGAAAGGAGGGGTAATCAGGTGTACAACAGGTAAATTTACTTATGTGATCAATTTACTAAACATGGAAGCAAGCCATCTATGTGCGACATGGAGCTAATATTTATTCAATAACAATTTGCGGACAAGGATAAATGAGATTTACATTATGCAGAGGATATTAATTTTGAAGAGAGATCACAGTTATTAGAATGAAGATAGAATACTGAACAAATTTATTAAAAAAAATCCACGCCTTGTGTCAACTGTAAAAACACAGGAAAAACTATTATTAAACAAGTGAAAAAGGCATTAAGTTCGTCCCGGCCGACATTTGGATACCCACCACCATAGTTGCATAAAATGAAAATATAGCGAACATAACAAGAAGTATACCTGTACAAACAATTGTAAACCACCAGCAATTTTTATTTTTCCTTAAATCGCAATACTCAAAACGTGGACTGATATTGGTAGGGTAGGGTGAACATGTAGAAAGAATTTTAATTGGGAGTGGAGTGAAAGCTGCAGGTTCAATATGATAATTGTCATTGCAGAAAACAATTTTATGAGTACGTCCCTGAGGCTACAGCTAAAGCGAACCAATATTGAATACATTGTGTAGGAATTACCGAACTTTTGGAGTTATCATTATATGAGGTGCTATGCCTAATTGAGGACCGATATAGATCAACCTTCCTTCACTCTAAATATTAAATATATATAAAATGTATATAGGGTCTAGACCTAATTGCAGGCCGATGTAGTTTATTCTCCAACATAACGTTCTTGATTTTCATCTCCGAAGGTAAAATGATTATAACAGATGGTTAAATCGACAGAGGGTAAAAACTGACAATTTCGAGTAAGGAGTATTCCCCCTACTATGGTAAAATACGCCTTCACCACTTTGGGCATATCCTACATATGTATCTTAACAGGCGTAGCGTTTTCTATATCTTTTTATATATCTGAACCGACTTCAGGGAAAGTTGCCAGATACGAATTTGTATTACTTCAGTACTTTGTGTCAATCGGCCTAGCTATGGATCTTTTCACGAAGCTTAGCAATATCATTCTAAACTTAATTCAATACCAAAATTCGTGCAAATCGAAAATATATGGGGTGCAACCAATTAAATAAAATCGGACGATATATATGGGAGCTATATCTACATCTGAACCGATTTTCACGAAACTTAGCACAAATCATTCTAGGCCTAACTCAGTACGCTGTGCCAAATTTCGTGTAAATCGAAAGATATTTAGGGACTTTTGTGGACCAGTTACCTTAAATCAGGCGAAACTATATATGGGAGCTATATCTAAATCTGAACCGATTTCCACGAAACTTTGCACACATCACTGTAGACTAAATTCCGTACGCTATGCCAAATTTCGTGCAAATCGAAAGATTTTCAGGGACTTTAGTGGACTATTTACCTAAAATCGGGCGAAACTATATATGGGAGCTATATCTAAATCTGAACCGATTTTCACGAAACTTTGCACACATCATTCTAGACTTAATTCAGTACGCTATGCCAAATTTCGTGCAAATCGAAAGATATATAGGGAATTTGGTACACCATTTACCCTAAATCGGACGAAAATATATATGGGAGCTATATCTAAATCTGAACCGATTTTGCCCAATTTCAAAATCGGTCGTATATGAACTGTGCCAAATTTCTTCCAAATTGGATTATAAATGCGATCTGTACTTTGTTAACAATTTAACACCAACAGGCGGACGGACGGACGGACATGCAAAAATCGACTCAAAAAGTGATTCTAGGCATATTCTCAAAAGGAACCATGGGTCTATCTCGATTATTTTTGCCTGTTACAAACATATGCACAAAGACATAATACCCTGTACCACAGTGTGGTGAAGGGTATAAAAAAGGGGTTATATGGGGACTACCCCTAAAAGAGGGTGAATATTAATAAAGTTTAGTAGGGCGATTCGTTACTATGTACGACTACAAAATACCAAATTACAGCCAATTCGGTTGAAAAACGCGGTCAAGAACCAAAAGATACCAAAAGTTGGACTATTGGGGACTATACCTAAACGTGGAACGTGGATATAGCACACCTTCGAACTTGGGCTGCCTGCAGACAAAATACGACTCTATGCAAAATTTTGGCGTTCTATCTCAATTCGTTTAGACGCTAGAGTGATTACAACAGACATGCTTAGTTCGTCATATAAATTTATTTTGATCAAGAATATATATATATATATATATATACTTTATTGGGTCGGAAATGACAAAACTAATATACCCTTCGTACTATGGTGGAGGGTATAAAAAATCAACACCATATTGGGTCTTTCAAAAATATTTGTAAACAATTCCACCCCTTATAGGATCATTGAAAAATATTTCTAAACCACTGAGCGGAGCAGTATAGTCGGACGGGGCCGACCATATGATACCCTACACAACTTCGACGAAAATCTAACTTTCTATGGTTCTATATTCAGAGCTTGGTCAATATTTCGCGATATTTGCACCCTCAAGACCGACTAGATGCCAACAAATATTTATAATATTCATTAGGCGAGGGCTGTAGCTGTCCAGATTCTCTTTACCGTGGGTTATGTTGTGGTGTTGAGCTTTCAATTGTGGCCTGTAGATCGACTTAAAAAAAAACACAAAATATTAAGTTTTCGGTGCACTTAATTCCATAATTATTATCTGATCATCACCGAAAATTATAGGCGCTATCCTTGACGATACCTGAACCCTCATGGAAAATTTCAAAGCGATCAGCGCTATATTTCCACCCTCCAGTGTGGTAATAGTTTACTAAATAATATTAGAATACGTAAGGACCTGTAAATATTTAAGTGTAACTCCCATACGACAATATAATTGATATCAAGTTAAAGGCCAACCACTCCTCTTGGATATACTATCAACTTCTCGGGTCTACATTCTTCTGAAATAAATATATACACCATAGAATACAAATTTTGTAATTTTTCACACAAAAGTCAGGGTCCATTTGACCCGCTAAATATTGACCGAACTTTATCAAAATATGCATGCTTATTCTTTGGCCCAATCCCCTTCTCCATGTAAAAATTCGAGATGGTTGGGCAATAATTGCGGCCTTTGGAGCGAAGAGAAAAACGGACAAAAATTTTGTGTTTGGTCCATTTCATCCCCTAAATATTAACCGATCTTTACCAAAAACAATAGGGGTTTTCATTGGGCCGAACCCATCCTACATGCAAAATTTCGTGATGATTGGTCCATAACTGTGGCCTGTATCATGTTTACAAATTATAATGGACAGACGGACGGACGGACACACATGGCTAGATCGACTCAGCTAGTCGAGATATGACGATCGGTATACTTAAAGGTGGGTCTAGGACCAATATTTCGCGGCGTTACAAACTCTTGTGGCTGCACAAAGCTATAATACCCTGACATAGTTGTGTAGGGTATAATGACAACATAGTTGTGTAGGGTAAAAATCCATGTCTGTTTGTATTCCTTATAAAATATTTTCAAAAAATCCACGACTGTTTATACCCTTCACCACACTGTGGTACAGTGTGAGTCGATTTATGCATGTCCGTCCGTCTGTCCATGTTAAATTGTAAACAAAGTACAGGTCGCATTTATCATCCGAAAAGGATGACATTTGGCACAGCTCATTTGATTGGCCTAAGGACGAACCCTATTGAAATTGGGAAAAATCGGTTCAGATTTAGATATAGCTCCCATATACATTTTCGTCCGATTTAAGGTAAATGGTGTACCAAAGTCCCTATATATCTATCAATTTGCACGAAATTTGGCACAGCACAACGAATAAGGTCTAGAATGATGTGTGCAAAGTTTCGTGAAAACCGGTTCAGATTTAGATATAGCTCCCATATATAGCTTCGCCCGATTTTAGATAAATTGTCCACTAAAAATCCTGGAAATGTTTTGATTTGCTCGAATTTTGACAAAGAGCGTATGAATTAAGTCTAGAATGATGTGTGCAAAGTTTCGTGACAATCGGTTCAGATTTAGATATAGCTCCCATATATATTTTCATCCGATTTTAGGTAATTGGTGCACCAAAGTCCCTAAATATCTTTCGATTTGCACGAATTTTTGTATAGGGTACTGAGTTAAGTCTAGTATGATGTTGCTAAGCTTTGTGAAAAGATCCATAACTAGGCCGATTGACACAACGTACTGAAAGACGGACTGGGCCGACTATAAGATACCCTTCACCACTTTGAGTATATTCTACATATGCATCTTAATAGACGACGCGTTTTTGCTATGTATCTATATTTGTACCAATTTCAGGGAAACTTGCCCGAGACTAATTTCCGTTTTTCCCACAACGTTTTTCCCTGAAATCGGTACAGATATAGATATATAAGAAAAACGCGTCGTCTGTTAGGGTACATATGTAGAATATACCCAAAGTGGTGAAGGGTATCATATATTCGGCCCAGTCCGACTTTACTACTTTCCTTACTGGTTTTAGTCTTTGAAAAGTATAATAATAAATTCGTTTATATTTTATTTCTTTATGGTTGCTCCTTGAGTCTCCAATGAACCCAATATCTGATTTTGTTTCTCAAACATTTCCACACGAAATTTAAAATTTACAATTGGTGTATAAGGTGGGAACATCGATTCGGTTAATGAGAAATTTTCCAATTTGTAGAGATAGTTCTGAAAAATTAACAAATATTATATATCAAAATAAAATACGAAAATAATTTACTCACCTTTTCCAATGGACATGCATAGGGTAAATTGCTTGATTTTCGTAGCTCCTCAAGAACGGAGCGCAGCAAAATTGTTGAAACTCTATCATCCAGCAATTCACAAAGACCCATGGTGACGTTCAAGAATGTGTTTTCCTTCGGGGCCATGGACATTTTGTAACGTACCGTAAATCGTAGCCTGATATTCTCATTCATATTACGACTAAATTCCATGGTCTGATCAACGATATAACGATTCGAGGACAATTTGGTTAGGTGGCAAATGTTTTGAGTCATAATACGGCCATCATTGTGACAGCTGACATTATAGAATTCTATAAAAAATGGTCGTCTGGAGGCCTACCGCAAACGGAGAGAAGTTTTCATAAAAATGAGTTTCAACATTGAAACTCATACTTACTTCAGCCAATAGGAACATTTGAAATCCAATAAAAATTTTCAACCAATTTGGCAACATTTTTTCTTCAAATTCGATTGGGAACTGTTTTAAATTTTGCTTGAGAGAAAATATTAAATAATTACCTATACGACTGAACATATTTGGGTTATTAGTCAATATTTTTTGGGTAATGCATTTTGAATGTATATTTAATTGTTTTTGATTTGTTAAAAATTATTGTACAAATATTCAGGATATTAAAATAATTATTTATTCAACGAAAAAAAAATTACAAAAATAAATACCCAAATAAATAACAAGCGGCTCCAAAGGGGATATTTTTATTCCATGAAAAAACCAGTAAGGAAAGCAGAAAAGTCGGACTGGGCCGACTATATGATACCCTTCACCACTTTGGGTATATTGTACATATGTATCCCCTCCAAAGAACATACACAAGACTTTCTGCAACCTATGATAAATTTAATTTCATTCGGGCAGATTTAAAGTCGACTTCGTTCTATGGGACAAATTTATGAAAAACGACTTATAGCAAAATTAATACACGCTATTCGGTAGCCGCACTGTACAAATTTTAATCTCATTCAGACATCCCTTCGAAATACATATGGAAGCTATGACAGCATCTACATCAATTTCAACATAACGCAATAACGTTATTCATGTCACAACTTGATACGTTGTGCAAAAAATCGTGTTAATCGGACAAACATAAGAAGGTTGGTGCACCATTTATGTAAAATCGGACGAATATATATGTATATGTGGGAGCTATATCGAAACCAGAACTGATTTTTCCAAAACTTAGCACACATCATTCTAGACTTAATTCAGTACGCTGTGCCAAATATCATCGAAAGGTATATAGGAACTTTGGTGCACCATTTACATAGAATCGAAAAAAAAACTATATATGAAGGCTATATCTAAATCTGAACCGATTTTCTCGAAACTTGGCACACATCATTCTGCACCTAATTCAGTACTGTGTGCCAAATTTCATGCAAATCGATTGATATATAGGGACTTTGGTGCACCATTTACCTTAAATCGGACGAAACTATATATGGGAGCTATATCTAAATCTGAACCGACTTTCTCGAAACTTGACACACATCATTCTGGACCCAATTCAGTACTCTGTGCCAAATTACATGCAAATCGAAAGATATAGAGGGACTTTGGTGCCCCATTTACCTTAAATCGGACGAAACTATATATGGGAGCTATATCTAAATCTTAACCGATTTTCTCGAAACTTGGCACACATCATTCTGCACCTAATTTAGTACTCTATGCCAAATTTCATGCAAATCGATTGATATATAGGGACTTTGGTGCACCATTTACCTTAAATCGGACGAAACTATATATGGGAGCTATATCTAAATCTCAACCGACTTTCTCGAAACTTGACACACATCATTCTGGACCCACTTCAGTACTCTGTGCCAAATTACATGCAAATCGAAAGATATAGAGGGACTTTGGTGCCCCATTTACCTTAAATCGGACGAAAATATATATGGGAGCTATATCTAAATCTTAACCGATTTTCTCGAAACTTGGCACACATCATTCTGCACCTAATTTAGTACTCTATGCCAAATTTCATGCAAATCGATTGATATATAGGGACTTTGGTGCACCATTTACCTTAAATCGGACGAAACTATATATGGGAGCTATATCTAAATCTGAACCGACTTTCTCGAAACTTGACACACATCATTCTGGACCCAATTCAGTACTCTGTGCCAAATTACATGCAAATCGAAAGATATAGAGGGACTTTGGTGCCCCATTTACCTTAAATCGGACGAAAATATATATGGGAGCTATATCTAAATCTTAACCGATTTTCTCGAAACTTGGCACACATCATTCTGCACCTAATTTAGTACTCTATGCCAAATTTCATGCAAATCGATTGATATATAGGGACTTTGGTGCACCATTTACCTTAAATCGGACGAAACTATATATGGGAGCTATATCTAAATCTCAACCGACTTTCTCGAAACTTGACACACATCATTCTGGACCCACTTCAGTACTCTGTGCCAAATTACATGCAAATCGAAAGATATAGAGGGACTTTGGTGCCCCATTTACCTTAAATCGGACGAAACTATATATGGGAGCTATATCTAAATCTTAACCGATTTTCTCGAAACTTGGCACACATCATTCTGCACCTAATTTAGTACTCTATGCCAAATTTCATGCAAATCGATTGATATATAGGGACTTTGGTGCACCATTTACCTTAAATCGGACGAAACTATATATGGGAGCTATATCTAAATCTGAACCGACTTTCTCGAAACTTGACACACATCATTCTGGACCCAATTCAGTACTCTGTGCCAAATTACATGCAAATCGAAAGATATAGAGGGACTTTGGTGCCCCATTTACCTTAAATCGGACGAAACTATATATGGGAGCTATATCTAAATCTTAACCGATTTTCTCGAAACTTGGCACACATAATTCTGCACTTAATTTAGTACTCTATGCCAAATTTCATGCAAATCGATTGATATATAGGGACTTTGGTGCACCATTTACCTTAAATCGGACGAAACTATATATGGGAGCTATATCTAAATCTCAACCGACTTTCTCGAAACTTGACGCACATCATTCTGCACCTAATTCAGTACTCTGTGCCAAATTACATGCAAATCGAATGATAAATTGGGACTTTGGTGCCCCATTTACCTTAAATCGGACGAAACTATATATGGGAGCTATATCTAAATCTTAACCGATTTTCTCGAAACTTGACACACATCATTCTGGACCCAATTCAGTACTCTGTGCCAAATTTCATGCAAATCGATTGATATATAGGGACTTTGGTGCACCATTTACCTTAAATCGGACGAAACTATATATGGGAGCTATATCAAAATCTGAACCGACTTTCTCGAAACTTGACACACATCATTCTGGACCTAATTCAGTACTCTGTGCCAAATTACATGCAAATCGAATGATATAGATTGGGACTTTGGTGCCCCATTTACCTTAAATCGGACGAAAATATATATGGGAGCTATATCTAAATCTTAACCGATTTTCTCGAAACTTGGCACACATAATTCTGCACTTAATTTAGTACTCTATGCCAAATTTCATGCAAATCGATTGATATATAGGGACTTTGGTGCACCATTTACCTTAAATCGGACGAAACTATATATGGGAGCTATATCTAAATCTCAACCGACTTTCTCGAAACTTGACACACATCATTCTGGACCCAATTCAGTACTCTGTGCCAAATTACATGCAAATCGAAAGATATAGAGGGACTTTGGTGCCCCATTTACCTTAAATCGGACGAAACTATATATGGGAGCTATATCTAAATCTTAACCGATTTTCTCGAAACTTGGCACACATCATTCTGCACCTAATTTAGTACTCTATGCCAAATTTCATGCAAATCGATTGATATATAGGGACTTTAGTGCACCATTTACCTTAAATCGGACGAAACTATATATGGGAGCTATATCAAAATCTGAACCGATTTTCACGAAACTTAGCACACATCATTCTGGACCCAATTCAGCACCCTATGCCAAATTTCGTGCAAATCGAAAGATATATAGGGACTTTGGTGCCCAATTTACCTTAAATCGGACGAAAATATATATGGGAGCTATATCTAAATCTTAACCGATTTTCTCGAAACTTGGCACACATCATTCTGCACCTAATTTAGTACTCTATGCCAAATTTCATGCAAATCGATTGATATATAGGGACTTTGGTGCACCATTTACCTTAAATCGGACGAAACTATATATGGGAGCTATATCTAAATCTGAACCGACTTTCTCGAAACTGGACACACATCATTCTGGACCCAATTCAACACTCTGTGCCAAATTACATGCAAATCGAAAGATATAGAGGGACTTTGGTGCCCCATTTACCTTAAATCGGACGAAAATATATATGGGAGCTATATCTAAATCTGAACCGATTTTTCCCAATTTCAATAGGGTTCGTCCTTGGGCCAAATAAGTGACTTGTGCCGAATTTCATCCAAATCGGATTATAAATGCGACCTGTACTTTGTTTACAATTTAACATCTACAGACGAACAGACGGACATTCATAAATCGACTTAGAATGTCATTCTGTGCATATTCTCAAAAGGAACCATGTGTCTATCTCGTTTCCTTTTGCCTGTTACAAACATATGCACAAAGACATAATATCCTGTACCACCGTGTGGTGAAGGGTATAAAAACTCCATCATGTGGAGGGGGCATTGGGGAGAATATGCAAATTACAACTACCTCTTGAAATGTAACGAGCAAAAACAATCATCGACAATAATGCCCCTTCATATGCCACATCACGCAATAACAGAAAGTCTTTGGCGAATGCAAATGCTATTCTCCAGGGTTTTGACATGCAATTACAGCTTGACTTAAGTAACAACTAAAATAGCAACAACAACAACACAAGCCATATCTACCTCATACACTAACAATATAATTTAACACCTACAGAGGTGTGAAATTGAAGAGACAGGTTATGAATAAAATAACCACAACAACAACAGCAACAAATAACTAATTCTTCACACCATGAGATGTGTAGAGGTAATGGAGTTCACGTGGATAATACATACATAAGCGAATCGTTTTTAAAAATATATTTATCAAGGACTTACAAAAGGAGTGAATTTATAAAAAATGTTTTTTTTTTTCAAGGACTAAAATAAAGTGCGGAATTAAAAAAATATATTTTCTCAAGGACACCAGACAATGGTGTTGTTTTTTTAAATATTTTTGCAAGGACTACAAACAGGCGTAGATTTTTATACCCTCCGCCATAGTATGGAGGG